TTCCAGTTTGTCACTTGTCTATGGACTTAGTTTATGGTGATTTGGAAAGTTTTTTTTTTATTTTCATGTAGTCAAATGTATCAGTCTTTTCTTTTATGGCCTTTGGGCTTTGAATCATCATTAGAAAGTCTTTCCCAAGATGACACTTAAAGAGGAAGTGGCTCATGTTTCCTTCTGGTCCTTGTATGGTTTCAGTTTTAAACTTAGAGCCCTAAAACAAAACAAAACAAAACAAAACAAAACAAAACAAAACAAAACAAACTTAGAGCCCTAAACAATATAGTTTATTCTTTTGTTGACTGTAACATATGGATCTATTTGTTTCCTTTTCCTAATGGTTACCCAGGACCATTTATGACAAGGTCCATCTTTAGTATGTAACAAAGATGCATCTCAAATCACTGGGGTAATGATGTATTGGGGTCTTTTTCTAATTTTTTAGTCTCTTGCAATTTGTCTATTTACCCACCAGTACCACCCATTTTTAATTACAGAAGCTTTTATTGTTTTAATGTCTGGTAAACATTTTTGTTAAAAAGCTCTACGTCCAGTGTGGGGCTTGAACTCAAAATCCCAAGATCAAGAGTCCCATGCTTGACCAAATGAGCCAGTCAGGTGCCCTGACATTTTTAATGTCTAGTAAACCCTCACAGTTTTTCTTTTCCAGTAGTTTCTTACTTGCATGTTTGTTTTTCATATGCTCTTCGGCATCAACTCATCTATCTTCATTAAATAGCTTGCCATTATTTTTAATGGGCATATTTTTAATTTGCATCGAAGTTGCCACTTCACATAGGGAGAACTAACATCTTTATACTGTTGACTCATCCTATCTAAGAGCAGGGTATGTCTTTTCAATCATTCTTCCTTAGTGTCTTTCAAGAATGTTTCCATTTTTCCTTACATAGGTTTTATACATTTCTAATTAAATTCGATCCTAAGCATTTAATCTTTTTGTTGTGATATATCATAAATAGGGTTTCCTCTACCCTTATGTCCTCAGTTTATTATTTGTATATATAAGGGCTATCAAATTTTATATTTTAATCCTGCTACTTTACTGAACTCTTTTACTATTTGAATTAGTTTTATCATTGATTCTCTGTGGTTTTTCAGGTGTAACATTATGTCATCTGCAAATAGAGATAGTTTTATTTCTTCTTATTGTCAGACCTCCAATTGATTTCTCTTGCCTAAATAGCACTAGCTAATACCTGTGTGGGATAGTGGTGGAGCAAGTGGCCATTCTTGCCTGGTTCCTGATCTTCATGGAAATATTTCCAGTGTTTCTGGATTAAATAAGATGCTGGCTTTACGACTACATTTTATTATTTGAAAAAGTATCCCTCACTTCCTATTTCACTGGGTATTTTTATCATGAAGGGGGTTTGAATCGTCTTCAAGACTTTCTTGGCATCCATAGAGAATATTATATGGTTTTCCTCTTAGATTCATTAATATGGCACATGCTTATCATGGGTTCACTTATATCCCCCAAAGATGTTGAAGTCTAATCCCCCAGTACCTCAGAATATAACCTTACCAGGAAATAGGGTTTTGAAAGAGGTGATCAAGAAATGAGGTCATTAAGGTCACTAATGAGGTCACTAATCCAAAAAGACTGGTGTCTTTATCAAAAGGGGAATTTTTAACACAGAGATGGTTACACACAAAGAGAGAACACATGTGAACATAAAAATACAGATCAAGGTGTTGTGTCTACTAGCCAAGAAATGCCAAAGATTGCCCGCCAACCACCAGAAGCAAGGAAGGAGGCACAGAACAGATTCTGCCTCACAGAAGGACTCAACTCAAATGACACCTAACCTTGGATTTTTAGGCTCTGGAACTGTGAGAACTGAGAAGAACTGAGATTTCCGTTGTTTAAGCTGCCCAGTTTGGGGTACTTTGTTATGGCAGCCCTAGCAAACCAATGCTATTAATGGATTCTCTAATGTTAAACCAACCTTGTATTCCTGGAATAAATGTCACTTGGTTCTGGCTGGTTCTTAATAATATCCAGGATGCTAACAAAGTATAGGCAATGTGTCAGAGAGGCCTGGAATTCCCAGCAACTGAAAGGTAATCTTGTCCTCTGTGTCTGCTGAAGTCCACTGTGACCCTCTCGTTTCCTGTACTCTCAGGAGACTGCTGTTAGCAACCACTCCCAACCTGAAAGTTCTGAATGTCTGACTCATCTCGCCCCCTACAATCCTTGGCCTATAATCCATCCTACAGCCCCTTGGCTAGATTGGAGTAGGGGAATTGGCTGACACGGTAATTTGAATATCCCCCCCCCCCCCAGCCACTCCTCAGGCCGAGGGGCTTCCTTTAGGTTTCTCAAACAATAGCTAGCCAATTAGATCTGCTGAGATTTGAAAGAAATTATTATTGTTGTAAGAGTTTCACCTGGGAAACCTTGTAACACAGAGATAAGGTAACACACAGTCCAGATAAGGGTGTTCTGGACTGGGACAGAGAAGATTCTGTGTCCAGCCTCTGGTATGGAGCCTGCAGAACTATGGAGAGGGAAGTGGGTCAGCTTTGGGTGACAAAGTACTCTTCCAAGAGGAGTCAAAAGAGCTGCCCCATGGAGGGAATGAGGTCCCAGTTATAGGGGGATGCAAGCAGAGATTGGTTAGGCACTCAACAGGTCTACAGAGGTGGCTTTTCCCTGGAGGAGAGAAGAGGAGGAAGTGGAGGAGAAGAGCACAAGCGTGGAGTCAGACAGGGTAGGTGTGGATCCTAGTTCTGCCATTTCCTACCTGTGTGGCTGGGGCATCTCCCTGAGGCTCATTTCTGTCATCTGCAAAATGGGCCTAATGAGGGCTCCTGCAGAGGAGGCAGGCCCAGTGATGGCACCATTCGATGACTCAGTTTATGAAGACTGAGTACCACCAGAGCATCATTGGAGCCGCACCCCTTCCTCAAGCTTGCTGGGAGACCGGGTTCTTCCTGGCTTGTCTGCAGACCATGCACAACTGCCCCCTCAACAAGAGCAGGGTTGTGCTTCCCCTACCCCCAACCAGGATGGGTGCCCTGGACCGGCCACTGTCTCTCTCTAGGCCTCTTTCCTCATCGGTCAGAGAAGGCAGAAACTGCCAGGGATGGGCTCAGAGTGGGCCCTGGCAATTCTGACCTTCTGGAATGCCTGGGATTCTAACTAGCCATGTCTCTGCTTCTCAGGACCCAGCGTCTTCACAAAAAGTTGGTCTGGATGAGCGTAACATCCCCTAAACTGTGCTGAGCACTTACTCTGAGCCAGGGAGCCACTCCAGGGGCTTTACAGGGATGGCTCATGAAATTCCCACAACTCTGTGATATGAAGGCTGCTCTACTGATTTTATAGGGAGATGACTGAAGCAGAGAGGTTAGGTGGCTTGCCCAGGGTCACACTGCTGATGTGACAGCCCAGGCAGTGAGTCCAGAGTTCATGCTTGGAATCACCACCTGACACTCTTCTTGTGGTCCCCACACTCTGAAAACAAAAGAGGGGCCCAACATCCACTGTTTTTGCAGGCCGAGGCAACAGACATGACCCCACACCCTGTATGATGGGGCCGTCTTTCGCCTAACGACTGGCCTTTACCTAATCCTCACACATTTCTGCCCAAAGCCCAGTGTACAGACAGGAAAAGGGATAGAGGACTGGCCTGGATCACTCAGCCAGTAACCGGCAGACGGAGCACCCCGCTTCACCAAGTATGACCGTCATCCCCGCACTTGAACCTCAACCTCACGGGGAGGCCGAGACTCCACCGCTAGCTCTAAGAGGCGGGGAGAGAGTACAGAGCCAGGAAAGAAGCGCAAACAGCAGGGTGGGAACCCTCGGGAGGGGGGTGTGGCGTCGAGTGCTGCGGTGGGGGTGGGGCCTGGTGATGGAGGCGCCGGCCCTGGAGGCCCGAGTAGCAGCACTTGCCTCCTCGAGAGGGAAGGAAGAGCCTTCAGACGGCCGCAGAGCAGCTCCAGCGAGGTTTGGGGGCGGCGGGGGCGCGGCCTCGCGAGGAGCACGGGGTCCCGGCAGGCTGCAGCCAGGGCACGGGCCGAGCCGTGGGGTACTGGGGTACGGTGAAGGGGTCAGACACAGGGGCAGTTTGGGAACATTGTTCTGTGGGAGGCCGGTCACGGATGCACATTTGAAAGTCTTCCTAGGCTGGATCGGGACTGGCGGGTGGGGGACGGACGGGGGGTGGGGAGGTGGCGCTGGAGCTTGCCTCCAGGGTGTAACATCTGGGGAGCCTGGGACCGAGACTGCGAGGTGGTGGTGGCCCCGAGTCGGGGTGCCCGAGAGGTTAATGAGGTGATTAACCGAGACGGAGAACCCGGTGAGTGGGCCGAGTTTCTCCATCTGCAAAGTGGGCTGGCACAGGCCTGGGATGCCCAGACCGGGGAGGCAGGTCTCCCCGGAGCCCCTACTGTGCCGGGGTTGGTCACGCACAAACCTTCTCAGCCTTGCTCCAGAAACATGCCCCTCCTGCGGCAGCCCCGTTACACACGCGCGAGGGCTCAGTCCGGGCCTCTGCGCGAGCCTCCCGGGGCTCTCGGTTCCCCATCCTCGTCCTGAACCTTGGCGGAGGGGAAGGGACAGGCGCTCGCCTCAAGTCCTTTCCCCGGTGCCGTTTCGGCCTTGCAGGGCTCGCCCCGCAGGATGCATGGCCACGGCTCGGCGGCCTGCGCGCCTTCCGGGGCTGACACGCGACCTCGGGCAGACCTGGGCGCGGGCCTGGCGGGGCGCGGAGGGCTCCCCGAGATACTCCAGGGCGCACGGGGCGAGACTGGGAGGGAGGGAGGGAGGGAGGGAGGGCGGGGCCCGATGGAGCGCGGGGGGGGGGGGCGGGCCGAGCCGCGCTGGCCCCAGGCCCCGGCCACCCCGGGCGGAGCTCGGCGGCCACCTCCCTGCGGGTTCGCCCGCGGCACCGCGCCAGTTCGCCTGCGCAGCTACGCCGGCCGCCCGCCCCGCGGCAGACCACGCCTCTGTCCCCAAATGGGCGGAGGCCGCGGGGCGGGGCGGGGCGGGGCGGGCCGCAGCCCCGGAGTCCGAGCGCGAGCCCCCAGCCCCGGGCCAGCCGCAGCCGATCCCGGCCCGAGCCCGAGGCCGGCAGCTCGGGGTGCGGCGCCCGCGCGGTGCCCTGCGTCCGAGCCGGGCAGGTAGGAGGCGCCGCGCGGAGGGAGGCGTGTGCGAGCGCGCGTTCGCGTGTGTCGGGGGTGTGTGTGCGGCCGCAGCGCGGGCCGGTGCGTGCCCGCCGAGACGGATCGGTGCGCGGGGGCGCTCCCCCAGGCGGGGGAGGAAGGAGGTGAGCGCCGGCCTGGAGGCCCGAGGCGGGGGCGGGGGAGAGGCTCCGACGGTCCGCCCCCCCCCCCCGCGGCCCGGGGCGTCTTCCACCTCCCCTTGGGTGGGCGCTCCGGAGCCCGGTTCTTAGTCCCGACGCGCTGAGGTTTAACCCCCGGGACCCGACTGCCCCTTCTCTACCTCCGTTCCCCTTTCCTGTTCTCTGCTCAGCCCTCTGCCATCCGCTCAGTTCCACCTCCCCGCCTGGATGTGCCCCCCGCCTCCCCCGCCCGGGAAGCTTGGGGAAGGGGCAGGGCCAAGGCCAAGGCCGATTCCCTCACCGACCCTCCTCCCAGGTTGGATAGGGGCCTTTTTTCTGGGCTGCTGAGCTTGGGTGTGTCAGAGGGGGCCGGGGAGATCTGGGAGAGAATGGATTTTGGGCTTCTCTGCCTCCAGCCCTCAGAGCTGGGGACCTGGGGACACCTGCCTGGGGTCCAGAGGTGAAGTAGAACAGAAGATCATGAAGAGGTGCCAAGTCTGCCCAGGTTTCATTTCATGTAGTGGGATTGAGCCCCTCCCAGCCCTCCCTGGGGTGAAGAGGGTGGGGCAGAGGGCTAAGTGAGCTCCCTCCTCTCTCAGGGCTGCTGAGCTAGAATTTGAACCTGGGTTTGGCTCTCAAGTCAGAATTTTCTTCCTGTAGCAGCGTTGGAGAGCAAAGTGTTGAGGTCAGCTATTCCTAATATTCTAGGGAGGGAAAAATCTGGGTGGACTTCCTGGAAGAGAGGGGTTTGTGGGTAGGGCTCAGCCAGCCCTGAGTGTGAGGCCTCCTGGGGAAACCACTGTGTTCTCTTGCAAGGATTAAGACCTTTCAGCATCTTTGGGACTGGGGCTGGTCCCTGCTCCGGTCCCCAGAGCCCTGGGGTAGGGGTGGGGAGGCCTGACTGCTTTTCTTGGCTGAGGGGACTGGGCAGGGTGGGGTGGACCCAGCTGCGACTGCTTCAGGCCAGGCCAGCGCTGGGTGCCAGGACAATGAGGTGGGGTCATTGCCCGGGAACTTCCCTTCTGACTGGTGAGGAGGCAGTTGGGGCCACAGATAAGCCCCTGCGCATGCGCCTAGTGCTGGAGCCCAGGGCAGAGACCTGCCTGGGCGCTGGGGGAGATTTCCCTGCAGATACACCAGTGCTGGGTCTCAGAGGGTGAAAAGTTCGCCAAGCAGAGGAGAAGGGGCAGGGCAGGTCAGGTCTAGGGAAAAGGCGTGGAGGTGCGAAGTGGAATGATAGCCCTGTGGGGCGGGGGGGCATCAGATGGTCAGATGTGCATCTGACAAGTGTCATCCATCTTTGGCTCTGTGTTCACTGGGTTACTGTGGAGGCCAGTGAGGGGGAGGCCGCAGCCGGGAGAGGCGCTCTCCCCTTCCCCCTGCCTCTCCTCCGCCCAACCCCCCCTCCCAAGGCCTAGGTTTGGTACAGGGAGGAGCACCTGATAGAGATTCCAGAGCAGGGGTGCATGGCAAAAGGGTTGCACAGAGACCCCTTTCAGAGGGACCCCGTACAGAGGGAGAGTAGGTCGAGGAGCCCTTTCTGAGATGGGGCCATCACTGGGGGAAGGCAATGAGATGGACAGTTGGCTGTGGGAGGACTGTGGGGCAACATCCAGGACACTGCTTCCAGGCCTTCTGGCTGCTTCTGCCCTCACCGCAGTCTCTCGGGACAGCCCTGAAGCCCTGGTCCCCGAACTGCAAGCAGGCGCCCTTGAAGCCCTCCGAGGGCACAGAAAAGCCTCTCTCTGCCACCTCTCCTACCTGCAGGGCCTGTCCTTGTATCCAGGCTTCTCTGAGACTGGCTCTGCCCTTGACTGTGCCCAAGGATAGATCCTGCCTAATGACAGGGATTCGGGGGCCGACCACGTTTAAGGTAGATCGTGTCACCGAAAGGGCTATACTAAGTGCATGGTGTTTGACAGCCATTATAATTAATAGTACAGCTGATCCTTGAACAACGTGGGTTCGAACTGCACGGGTCCACTTGTACGTGGATTTTTTTTACAGGACGATACCGTAAATGTATTTTCTCTTCCTTATGGTTTTCTTAATAACACTACCTTTTTTCTAGCTGAGTTTATTGTAAGATTGCAGTATATAATACATACAGCGAACAAAATATGTGTTAATCAACCGCTTATGTTATCGGTAAGGCTTCCGGTTAACAGTGGGCTCTTAGTAAGGTTTTGCGGGGAGTCAAAAGTTATATGTAGATTTATTTTTTATTATTTTTTATTATATTATTTTATTTTAAAGATTTTATTTATTTACTCATGAGACACACACACACACACACACACACACACACACACACACACAGAGACAGAGACATAGGCAGAGGGAGAAGCAGGCTCTATGCAGGGAGCCCGATGTGGGACTCGATTCCAGGACCCCGGGATCATGACCTGAGCCAAAGGCAGATGCTCAACCACTGAGCAACCCAGGCGGTCCTCCTCAAGTGCTCTGAGTGCGCTTAGGGTCCTTTCTTCCAGCCCTCAAGCCCTGCCTAGAGACCTCTTCTGCCCCTTCCTGCCTTGCCCTTGCTGCTCAGAACAAACAGTTCTTGGCTGGCAGCGGTCCCCCAGGCCTCACCTTTAAGGACCGCTCCCCACCCCAGTTTTGTAGCTTCTCCTCCCTGGGGTGAGGATGAGACCCTGGGATAGCATTTGACTGGGCCCCGGCTACCGACTTCCTTGGCCTCAGGGCCTACTTTTCCCTGCTCACTAAAGGCAAAATGGGTTCAGTCCCTTTGAGATTTTAATCCAGGCTGTTGTAGGAAGGCAGCCCTCCTGCTCCAACACAGGAAGCTAATGGAATGTGAGCCTTTGCTTGCCGCAGCTGTCTGAGCTACTGCTCCCCATTCTGCTTGTTCAGAGATGTTTGCTAGGGACCCCAACTTTCTCGGGGCTCTGGGGTGTGAGGGTGCTGGTGGTTGAGGCTGTGGTGGCCTGTGGTTTTCTGCCTCAGTGGGGTCTGTGGTCTTGCAACCAAAGCAGACAAAGCACATCCATTGGTACTCAGATAACCTTCCCTCGGTGGGGGGGGGGGTGGGGGTGGTCAGGGGGTGGCCACAGGGCCTTGCGTCCTGGGAGACCAAATGCAGAGAGCCCGCTGACCTGATCTGCCTGCCGCTGCCCAGCCAGCCCCTGCCCCAATGCTGCCTGCTGCTGGGTGACTTAGGCCAGTTGGGTGAGGTCGGTCCTGAGTGGCTTGTGACCAGTGGCAGGAACTAAGACACCGAAGTTTGGGGTGACTTTGTTTTACACTGAAGTGATTCAGGGTGTCATAACTTCTTCCTCACTTGCTTGCTCACTCATTCACTCCCTTGAGCAGGAGAGAGGTGCAAGGCCACACACGTGCCTGCCCATGAGCTTCTCCAGGGTTAGCGTTCGTTTTCTCTTGCTGCAGTAACAACGAATGCAAACTTAATGGCTGAAAACACCACCATCTTATTCTCTGACAGTTTGGAGGTCAAAAGTCTGAACTGAGTCTTAATGGGACTAAGATGGTATTCGCAGGGTGGTTCCTTTTGGAGGCTCCAGGAGAGGCTGTTCCTCGTCTCTTCCAGTTTCTGATGGCTGCTGGCATTCTTGTGACCTCAGGACCCCAATCTCTCTCCTTCCATTGCCCTGTTGCATTGTCCTCTTCTGGGCTCATATCTCCCTGTGCCTCCCTTTTATTTATTTAAGATATTATCTATTTATTTGAGAGATGGCGAGAGAGGGAGAAGCAGGCTCCCTGCTGAGCAGGGAGCCTGATGTGAGACTCCATCCCAAGACCTTGAGATCATGACCTGAGCTGAAGGCAGACACTCAACTGACTGAACCACCCAGGTGCCCTCTGCCTCCCTTCTATAAGGACACCTGTGCCCGTCTGGATAATCCAGGATAATCTCCACAACTTGAGACCCTTAAATACATATGTGAAGCCTCTTGCTGTAAAAGGTAACATTCTCAGGTTCCAGGGATTAGGACATTGACATTTGGCAGGGGGCATTATTCAGCCTGCCATAGGGACCATTTGCGGTGTCACTGCAGACCATTCTGAGAGATCTCCTTCCCAGGTGCCCATTGGCCACTGGCTTCCACCATGTGGCCACGCTCAGCATCTGTCTCCCCGCAGCCTAGGAGCTTTTGTGTGCAGAGCCTGGGGTTATGGCACCTCTGGCCCTAGAGCCCAGCCTGAGACCATAGTAGCCAGAGCTCAAGGATATTTGGAATGTGCTGGCATGCCCCCACAGGTTGCCCCAGTGACCAGATCCCATCCTGCACCCAACAGTAGGTTAGGCCTTTCAGAGAGGTGCACAGCTCATTGCAGACATTCATTCAACAAACCCAGTGCTGTGCATGGTCACTTGATCCCCACCATCATCCTATGAGGGTTGGGTCCTGGTGGGAGCCCCATGTTGCAGATGAGCAGGGTAAGGCCAGTGAGGCTAAGTCCTGCCTCGAGCAGAGGTGTGAGGGCAGCTCGGCCAATAGAGCAGAAGACCTTGGTTTTACAAATGAGAACTCTGAGGCACAAGGAGGTCAACTGAGGAGACTGGAGTCAACTGGAGGCTGCCATGGGTGGGAACATGACCTGGTGCAGAGCAGTGCACTGATGCTGCAGGTGCATCAGTCAGAGAGCCTCTGGCCTGCGTGCTGCGGACCCTGCCTTAGTGTGGGTCACTGTCACTGTATCCTCCCTACAGCCAAGGCCATGCCATACAGGCCCTGCTTCTCTCTCGGTGGCTGTTTCTACGCTCTGGCCTGTGTGCTGGCGCCCTGGCCTCCACTCCGCCTTGCCGTGAGCCATGCAGGAGCCTCAGACCCCGGCACTCTCCCCAGGACTCAGCCT